GATTCTCCGTATGATTCAGAACTATCTCACGACGATCTGACTATGCAAGATAATTGTTTATTTAGCGCATTGGAGAACACATACATGAAACCTCGTAAAAACCGTTGCATATTTACTAGCAAGGTCATACGAAATATTAATACTACTCTGTATAAAATATAGTACAATTTCAACTAACCCCAAACAACAAAATGATTAAATACCTAGTGGAAAATTAACAGTAGATAATCAGTAAATTAGAAAATAAGATAATAATGATTTCACATTTATTAACAAGGAAATACGGGTCACATTAAACTTTTCAGACAATCACGTGCACTGAGTAAAATTAGAGAAAATCACACTGTTTTCTGGACTTGTTTTTCAGTTTATCCGTATCTGAATAAATAACGATGAAATTGCCCATAAGCGTAATGAATATCGATTATTCCCAAACGTCACTCCGCTCTGTCCCCACGTGAGAATAAAAAGTTTCAGTAAGTAGTAGTATCACCAATAAGGTGACAGATGGAACCGTTATGAAATAAAATAAGTTCCAACCGTCCCCTCGTCGCAAAAGGTGGGACAGATGACACTTTATTCTCACCTGTTCCCAAGGGGGGGACAGAGCTGGATGACAGTTCGGAATAATCCTTGAATATGCTCTATAACCAGTTATTAATAACGTTTAGTCATGATTGAAGGATTAGCCAAATATGTTGATCGAAACCACTCCAAGATCAATAAATGCATCACTCGACGTAACAAAGACCTTTTCGGAAAGATCCTTACAATAATAGACGTAAAATCAATCACAAACATCTCAGCTATAATGGGAACTGTATTAAAAAAAGTGCTAGTTAATATGTGAAAAATATTCGATTAGAGACATAAGTTACGTCTGCATTTATTACTTCGTTGGAATTTTCATATCAGCGACGAACACTCGTTGAATATGACGGAATAAAATGCGAAGGATTCTTGTAACTATGTTCCAATCTAGACTACGCGATGTTAATGTCTTGCTTTATGCGAACTATGTGACTTCATATTACAATAAAGATAATATAATTTGTTTTTATAGATGTAGGAAAATCTTGAGAATTTATGATTTTCGTGATGCATTAGTATTACACTGTGAAGTAGTTAAATTGACAGAAATAACCATAATTAGCAAAGAAATGTATTTAACTATAAAATTCTAGGATGACAAAGAACAGATTATATATTTTAACGGAATTAACGTTACTATGGCCATTGACAGAATGGTCTGGAAAGGTTTAGAGATCATTTTAACATATTCCGGACTGGCCTTACGCCCTCTGGCGGTAACCATTAAAACATTGTTAAAAACGTAACATTAAAAAACATTACAAGAATATAAACAGTTCAATTCTAATTTGATAACTAATAATGGTAAGATTAATTTGAAAGAGTATCGTGTCGTGTCTCTGGCTGGTATCCAAATGTTCTGCGATCACGTCGTCGTGTTATTTTTGTAACGAAAGCCGCATTGTAACGTCGAATGTCATCGTATCATCTACACTTTATTACGATTTGATAATATTAAAAAAAACTGTTCAGAAACTATAGAGATGTTTAAAAGAACAACAATTAAAGATATAAATTAATCGTTTGGTTCTTTAATCAAAGGTTCTTTGGGTCTTATTGCCAATAATTAGCACGCTAGCTTGACTAGTTTGTAACCTTTTGGAAGCTAAAGAGCTGATCCCTTTTTTAATCTATTTTTATTTATGGTTTAATTTATTTTAGTTTCAATTCCTGGTAATGTTACGAGGAATGAAGAGGAATTAAACGGAACCATTTAATTAATTTATCCAAGACGCAATTTCAAATGTAATAACAAAATTAAGTGTTATTACGTGAATGCCGGTGTCACTGGCTGGCATCAATATATCACGCAAAGTCTAGCGCATCGTAGATCTTAATTAAGAAATTATTGCATTTCTAAAATCATGTTGGTTTGACGTTGAAAAATAAATCTTTTAATAGAGAATTAGAACATAATTTTCCATGTAATCTAATAGAAGGATCAAATACAGAAGTAGCTGTTGATTTACCTCGACTGCAAAGAATAATATGGTTACAAGTATCAAACAAGGTTTTTTCCAATTAAAATAAAAGATCCAGGATATCGCATGTCATTTAACTCGATATAGAATTTTTTAGTTTCCGTCCTTATGAGGAAACAGTGGGATGGTGTTACCTCCGGGACACACTTATCGGGTGCAACGCGGTAACTCGTCTGTTTTCTGTACAGTCGTGATATTACACCGGGTGAGCGGCTTCGTGTAGCTAATACTGCTACGATCACTACGACTGTGTTCGATGCTAAGTTCGTAGCAAAGTCCTTTATTCCAGTACAGTTGAACATTTGCTCTAACTTGTATGTACTGCTTGCGCTAACTTGTGCCAGTTGTTGCATTTAACGGCTCTCATGTTGAGCCCTATGACAGTAGTACTGTCCTGTTAGCGCCATGCATACAATTCATAGACAATATTATATTCTGTACAAACATTTAAAGGCAGAAAGTTTGTGTTGTTGAGAGGCAAAGTGTTCGCGTGGCTGCTACTTCACACAATTTTTTGCAACAATCTAGTTTTATTTAAAAATTCTTGTTCCAGTATGGAATATCTTCTATAATGTCCGCTAATTATTTCTTCCTTCATAAAGATCATACTAATATTATAAATGCGAAAGTTTAGATGGGTGGATGTTTGTTAGAGTTTGCAGCATAAACGGCTGAACGGATTTCGATAGAATTTGACATAGATGTGGAGGATAGTCTGGAAGAACACACAGGCTACTTGAATTTGTTTTATTTAATTTCACGAGGACGGAGTCGCGGTCGAAAGCTAGTTAAATATAAGATTAGCTTCGAATAAACATAACTTTTTAAATTAAAAGAATCGTTTACAAGAAGTGGCTCGTTAAAGCTTACTAACAAGTTTTGAATTCGCATTAAAACGCTACTGGACTGAGAAATATCACTTCCAGCGAATACTTTGAAGTGTGAAATACTATTTCTTTTGAATTTCTGTTATGACTTATCTAGAAGTTTACACTCAACAATGTTAAACCAACAATCAGCAACATGTTTTATTTCGTTGATGGAAGTAGCGTATCGAAGTTTGTTAATTGCTTCTACATAAACTAGCGTATTTTAGAAAAGCTAATTTTCCAAGAGAAATATTTAAACTCTGATACAATTGTGACGTATCAAATATGAACATAGATAGAACCAAAGTCTACAACTGTTCTTTGTACTAGTTTTCTAGAAATTAGTATTACCAAATTAATTATAAAATAAACAATGTGTAAATCGCTAAATTGTGACAATACTATGTACTAACCATTTAAATTTGATACCGAGTTTATCATACTAATCATACTAATACTAATATAAGTATAAATATAAAAATAATAATAAATAAATAATATTATAAATGTGAAAGTTTCGATGGATGGATGGAAGTTTGTTAGAGTTTGTAGCCTAAACTGCTGAACGGATCTCAATAAAATTTGGCATAGATGTAGAGGAAAGTCTGGAAGAACACATGGGCTGTTTTGCTTTATTTTTTTTAATACCACGCAGACGGAGTCGCGGGCGAAAGCTAGTAAACAAATAAAATAATATTTTGTCGATATTTATTAGCATAGAAATATGATTTAAAAAACGTTTTTAAACGATTTCTAATTCAAGAGGCCTATTTAAAGCTTACGAGTACTATAAAAAATTGTATATAACATTTGTTCAAACAAACGCTAATGTGCCTATAAACATTTCAACTGACGAAAAAAAATTGAACCACGTAAATAAATGTCATAAATATGAGAGGATTTCAAAGCAAAACATTATCGTAAAGAAACACTAATTTATTGTTTTCGTTATAATTTAAAGATGTCCCTTTTACATATTATTCAAGACATATTGTTTCATTTCAACTCCACATATCTATACTATTATAAAGAGGAAAGATTTGTATTTTTGTTTGTATTGAAATAACTCTAAAATTACTTTGCACTTTTCGAAAATTATTTCACCATTAGAAAGCTACGTTATCAGTGAGCAACAAAGGCTATTATTTTTTTAATTTCAAGCGGGCGAAGTCGCGAGCAGCAGCTTTTATAATATAGAATTGAATGTCTATCTTCAGACTTTTACACAACACATATATTATTCTTTACTAGCTTTCACCCGCGACTCCGTCCACGCGGAATTAAAATCAAACGTAAGTAGCCTATGTGTTCTACCAGACTATCCTCTACATTTAAACCAAATTTGATCAAAATCCATTCGTCTATAAACTCGTAATAAACATCCATCCATCCAACGAAACTTTCGCATTCATAATATTAGCATGATTCTATTGGTCAATGAGTTTGCATGTTAATTGGCTGAAAAATTACGTTCATAAGAAAATGTGTCACGTGTAAAGTCAGGGGACAACTCTAGTTTAATTTTACACAAACTACATTCTACTATAAACCGCTGGATACCATTAAAATGATTTATAGAACGGATATTAATATTTCAGGAACAGATATGTCGTAAGTTTATTTTTTATCCCGCCTACACGAACACATGAATATCACAAACATATATCTATATAAATTAAATGTCAACTCCACATGTGACGTCACTTCAAACTATTGACACAAAAAGGGTCAATAGAGGTAGAGATGGAGCAATTCGCGAAACCTAACAGGACATTGTTTTCCCAAGTTTAAACCTTGAAGCACATAATTAAACTTTATAAGTGATTTCTAGATTTACTTACTAATATTATAAATGCGTAAGTTAGGATAGATGGATGTTTGTTAGTCTGTCGCCTAAACTAATCTTGATTAAATTCATAGGTCATAGATGTAGAAAAGTCCGGAAGAAAACACAGCAGACTCACTTTTGTTTTCTTTAATTCCACGTGGACAGTCGCGGGAAAAAGGTAATCTATAATAATATACAAATAAATAACTATAGATCAAGTTATGCATTTACCTGATTTCATTCTTTGGAGACGTTTTTCATAATCATCCATAACACGCTTATATAAAAACACCATTTTAAACTATTAAAAAATGTCACAAAAATTAAATTTGGAATCGATGTCTCTCTCTATAGATATCGATTTAATATCGAATATGAAAGTACGCTTAGACACGAATCATTCGTGAAATCAGAATGAAATAATTCACAACTTTGTTTATTCAATTATTAGCAAATTCGCGTAATCCGTGGCTGCACCACGAACACTAGACACGAACTAATCTATTTCTGATGTGCTGATATTATTGCTAAAAAATTGTTTGAATTTATTATACGTAGCAACTGGAATAATACCAGGATTGTATAAATCAAGGATGAAATACATTTACGATAGTTTCTTCCCATCTGGATACAATAATTAGAACATTATCTATGGTAACTCAACATTATCGATGCACTATGTTTATTACTAATTCTAAGAGCGCACCCTTTAACTAAAAAATCGTACAACTGTTTAGTCTTGCTTTGATTCCTATTAGCTTAATTGGAGATGCGCACATTACTCGTTTGAGTTGTTGTTGAATTGGTGAAACTTCCTCAAAGGCCGGCAACGCATCTGTAGTTCTTCTAGTGTTGCGGATGTCTGGTAGACCACATTTGTGTTCCCGCCGCTTATTTGCCCCCTTCATATAAAAAAAAAACAATCGACAATCGCACAACACTTGTATAATGTAATAGACAGTTCTGTTGGTGGTAGATAAGTGTACATTAAAATAATGGCAGCTTATTTAAACTACTACGCTTTTATGTAATGGAATGATTTACTTTCTTTACATAAAAGCGACAAACCTTTAACCTTTAGTTGACTGACTATTCATCAGTAACCATGGCAACCTTGCTTCTGTGCTATAAGCTTGTAGTTTGTCCCTTTCTCGTATTACACTTTTTTCCAATTTATACATCCCCTATGTTAAAAATAAAACCTTAAGCGTGTCATAAGTGTGGGACTATTATGTGAAAAAAAAAAACATACTATGATTGGTGATATACTACGTAAAAAAAGTGTGTGTTTGCGCTTTATTATAATAGTCTAGTTTTAGATAATCCACCACAATTTATGGTATTGTAAATTTTTATTTTAGCCACTTTATACTAGTATTGTATAATAAAATATCTTTACATCGCGTTACGCACAATACGTATCAGTATAAAAGTAAGAAAGTGAGCCATAAACACAGACGAGATTTCTTTGAGTGCTCATTTTACCTTCGATCGTAAATCTTCTCGGAAATTCTTTATGTACATGCTTCCGTAGATTACATACCATAATAACATATCTAGGTTATAAAATCCAAGTGACACGTCTTCACCCGGGTGGCAAAGTATATGCAAAAAACTTCTGCTTTCTCGATGGTTTCTACTGTTGAAATGCATGTCTAAAATCATTGTCAAACAGCACAAAACTAGATACCACAAAATGTGTTCTGGCAATGGAAACCCACGGTCAAACAAAACTGACACAGTTTTCAACTGACGTCAACCAGTTTCTATCATAGGTTTTATTACTATGTTATTATTTAAATATATTTTCTTATACTAAAATATACAGTTTAAAACAGCTGTACTCAGACGTTGACAACGAAATACTTTGATGTTACAAAACGTTTACAACACTTCAAAGATTCTACGCGGATTTTTATTAATACTTTACAAGCTTACCTAATGTTGCTAACATCTGGCGGACAGTTCTCATCAAACAACTGTCTAGTAAGTCTTATAACGCATTGATTAATTAGCGTTATAGAAAGCCCTTAGTTTAGTATCTCGTTCTAAATAGTCACTAAAGGAAAGCTATTAATGATTCTGAGTGGACCCCTTATATTGGTTGCGCATGAAAGATAACTAAATTCATTAATTTGTCGGCGATCCGCAAAAAAAAATACTAGAAGAGCTATAACAAAGCGTTATAGATGTTAGATATTTGTAAGACCTTAAATAAATAACAGAACATAACTCCCAGCTTCATTTCGGATACTATAATTCTCTGAGGCAAAAAAGCGGTTGCAATTTCGTATATGAACATTTCACAAAGAGCTTATATTAACAAAGAGAAATTAAAACGCATTCCCTTTGCTCGTCACATGAAATGGATTACGAAATGTCTGTTTATATTAAAATGTGCATTAACGTGCATTAAAACGAGTAGTGTATTTCAAATTTAAAAGATTTTCCAGCCATGGAATTCTTATGTCAAAAGAACTCTACAAAACAATGGTATCTCTTACAAAGACAACAAAATAAAAAAGCACTTAAGCCAACTATAATTTCACTACAGCCACTGAATAGCAATATCTCGTAGAAGTTCTAATGAACGTTATTTTATTAGTTTCATAAACATTTTCCATGTTGTGCAAAATTAACGTAATAGAACGATTTTTTCGTCAAGACTGTACATAAGCAGAGTGGCGCAGTGGAAGCGTGCTGGGCCCATAACCCAGAGGTCCGTGGATCGAAACCACGCTCTGCTAATTTCATATTTTTTTTAATAAAAAAGATTTTACGATTTTTTTTTAAATCCGTAAACTTATACATGAATGTCGGAGTAAGAAATAGACAATCCATCAATCAACAGCATCTGCAGTGTTTATTTTAGATGCCGCGGCAACAGAGACGCGAACTCATGGCGATGGCGCGTGTTGCAATATAAGTGCTTTGATAATAGTAACGTATATTTGTCAGAGAAATGAGATAAAAAGTAAAGCTATACACCTAGAACTGACTGACAGTTTTAATTGAACAGTCGAACTGTACAGTTAGTTTATTTGCACAAGCACAGATGTATAAATCTCATCCTTATCTTGCTAGTATTCTTCAGTATATAATAATCTAGTATCGCAGAATAGCGGGGAAAATAAGGACATGACATTTGAGAGTTGGGCCTAGTTAGCACCAGGTTAGTCATTTAGTCAGGAACTAAATAATTTAGTAACTAATCGTATGTACAACGAAAATTTAGTAGAGTTGATTAGCAAATCAAATACGAGTGTGTTTTAGCTTTTTGGCAGTTGAGTTCATTATTAACCTAGCGAAAATTAATCATAATACTATGGCTGGAAAGTATGCAGTTCTGAAAGACATGCGTCTTTATAAATACTGGAAAAATACTTATAAAGCTAAAATTATTTTATGTCTTCAACAACAAAACTCTGTAAAAAAAATCCTTTTTCTGCAAAAATATACAAATTAAAAAACCCCTATTCGGAAATCCCCGAGCTAAATTGAACGAAAACAGGGTTACAGGTCAAGCGGTTGAATGATTATAGGGTGACCACTCATCTAGCTTGAGTTATAATGTCAACAATTTTTTTTTTTATAAGGCAAACAAGCAACCACCTAAATTCGTTTAAATATCGAAGCTAATGCACATAGACATTAGTGATTATAGTTGCTTTGCCTTCCATAAATCAATGGAGGTGGGGACGCAGACTTAAAGTCAAGAAAATTGAAGAAAACTGTCTTGCCTTTTGCAGAAAGTGGAAATTCATGGTCAAAACAAAGTGCCCATGATTTATTACATTATGACAAAATATAGTTACATAGTTTTTTATTTTTTCATGTTCAATACCATCTGTCACTGGACGTAAATGTACAAAAATTTAGGCTCCAAAAATGTTCATAAAACTGCAAACCTGCTTTTCCTGTCCGATTTTCAGTGTCATCCATGACAAACACTTAAAATAACAGAGGAATAAATCTGCTAACACAGCCGCCCAGACTTGTCACTTTTAATCATTTATAAATTGGCCACACAATTCAACCTTAATAATATATTAAAAAAGAAAATATTCATATCATCCAGCAACACTATGTTATCTTTTTAAATAAAAAACACGCGCGAAAGTTTTTTTTTTAAATTGCAAAGGCGTCGCTGTAGTTCGATCGCGGCGTACACACTGGTCTATTCTCGTGTTTGCCAAATGAAAAGTTTAACACGTGTTTTTAACTGATTGTGTATTTGTTTATATTTGTACCTGTATCGTTTGAACATTAAACTGAATTTTACGCAATATTTCTTTAGTGCAATTGTTCAAACGAATTCATCTCTTTCGTCTTCAAAAAGTACTCATGACAATTTTGGCAATATCACTTCCGGCTGGAGCGTTAATAAAAAAAGTTACGAAAATCTTATAGGTTATTTTGATATAAAAACAACGTGACGTTTGGAAACATAAAACTAATAGAACTTACTAAATCTATGATCAGGGCAATTAACGTACTAGAAGTAATTGTCCGAAAAGTAGATAATTTACTGATGCTGGCATTTAGCCAGCATGCCATTGAAGAGCGATTGCTTTTGACAGTAGTTTTATAGTCTACCGATGTTCACGGCTCATTAAAACAGATTTAGACGTTAACATTACCTAATAGAGACTATACTCTCTTGAACATGATATAAAAAACATGATTTCCACCTTATTAAGATGTTTAGGACGTAGGTAGATTTAACAACAAAGCGTCTGTCATATTCACCACATGCCACGTGTAAGTGACATGACACGACATTGTTCGAAATAACTAATTGCGTTTACCGTCACTAACAAATGTCGCTTGGAAATGCCTTAATTTCTACTATTGCGGTGCACAGTAAGATGAGATATGAAGACCTCTTTACATCTACAGGCATTTCATTCTCAATAACTTTCGATGCGAAAGTTTAAATGGATGGATATTCGTAGAGTTTGTAGCCCAAGTTGCTGATGATAGCTACCTGAAACAGCTTCAAAGTTACGGAGCTTAGAAAATAAGACAAGCGCTCCAACAATGAAACGGTATGCTTGTACATGTTAAATTTGTATGGTGCTCGTTTTCTTTGTAGACAAAGGTGAGATCAGTCGAAATAGTGCACATTCATTATGCATAGTACTCAGTGTTTTCTTCGCTTGAATTTTGGCAGTCTTTCTTTTCTTGAAACGTCTTTCTTTCCGTTTTAATAGTAAACGAAGGTACAGGGTTGATTTCGTGTTCTATATCTATATGAAGAAATAAAAAAGAGTGTTTATAAGTTAAATTGGTTAAACTGCGAGCCACTGCGTAGATATTTTATCATAAGCAACGCCCGTCGTATCTTGGTCCTATGATTCCTATAGATCCATATAAGAAACTCAAAAACTGCTTGTCAGCTTTCTCAATAAATTCTTAATCGCCAAATGATTAAAAACTGTGCTAAATATAATATAAAAATATAAACATTTGTGGCTCATTATCTCCCCTACGTTATCCTACTCCCGTAGGGTCGACACACCGAGTTTTCGTCTTTCAAATAACTATCGTCCGTCATCTCAGTCACCTCGCCACTCCCTTCTTGATCATGTCAACTTTCACGCAGTTGATCCATCTCTTTCTAGATCTATGTTTACATTTGTGGCTGAACACTAATATAAAAATAAGACACCTCCATACTAATATCCACCTTAACCTTGATGCTGGTTTTTCTAATTTTTTTTTTGACGCAATAAAAATTATTTAATAAAGCCTTTTTCTTTTAATTTGTATTAAACTGGCAATATAACACACCTTTTTTGCCACTGTTAACATTATCAGAAGTCGCGTGACAGATGACGGTTGACAGCTAATGTCAATTTTGTTTTGAGTCAAAGTTTTTGTATAGTTTTCTAAGTGAAAATAACGTGGATTCCTAACAAGATTTTGTATTTTAAGTTTTTTAAAAGTGTTCAAAAAATATAGTTTTACTAAACTTGTACTCAATAAGTTGTACAAATTATCTGCTAAAGCAACAAAACAATGGATGACGGTGATGAAAGTTTGCATCGTTTAGCGGGCACGTCTGGTGATGCGCCAGGGGGTTTGATTATCAAAAAGAAAGATAAACCGCAGGAATTTCAGTTTGCCAAACCTTCCTTGTTAGGGTTAGATAAACTAGCAGCCGCAAAAAGGAAGCAAAACAGATTAATATCCTTTCAAACTGAGGAAAACGAATCGGAAGAAAGTGAAGACTCTAAGGATTCTACTGTAAAGGGTCGGAAATATAGAAAGCATAATGAAGAAACTCCAACGTATACAGGTGGATTGTCTGAACAAGCACGTGAACGGATGCTGGAGCGGTTACAAAAGTAAATATTAACAAATATCCCTTTTGTTTTTGTTTGAGTAGCTAGACTTTGGTTCTTAACATGTCAGTACCATAATACTTTATACAAAATAACTTAAATACATAAATACAAGAAACATACAAAATTAAAAAGAAAAATAATGAAAAATCATAAAGAGTACATATTTATAAATTACTCTAAGGCCTTTAACACCATTCTGTGAACTTAGTCCACAAGGTCCATCAGTGGTTTACATCTTAAAATGAATAAGAATAGAAAACTAAATCTATGTGTATCTATGTGTGTCTATATTCAAATCTTATTCCCTAATTCAAATTCAAATATTTTTAGGTTAGTTTTAAATTAGGTATATGGCCTAACACTAGTATAAATAATAGGTAATAAAATTAATAACTCAAGTAAAACAAATTGAAATAAAATGCTATTTTTCACTTTACAGAAAAGAAAAAGAAACCAAAGAAAAGGGTGTCCATTATTCAACAAAAGAGGAACAGAAATTAAGATCAAGAGATGATGATGATAGATCCTACTTAAGTCGTTATGATCGTAGAGACCGTGACAGAGATAGAAGAAGAGATGATGACTATAGGAAAGATAGAGACAGAAATAGAGATTCCGACAGGAGAGATAAGGATAGAGATAGAAGAGACTCGGAAAGAGGTAGTTCAAGACGAAGTTATTATGAACCTAGGTTCAAAGATGAGCCCAGAACTCCAAAGTAAGCTAAACTTTTGCAAAATATATAACTATTTATATACTATTGTGTTTAAACAAGAATTTTACACATTTAGTTCCACTATTAATTCTGTATTAATAACACAAAGAGGGAAGATTTGTATTTTTGTATGTAACCAATAAAATCAACAACTCCTTGGCAGATTATAAAATTTCTTTTGCTGTTCATAAACTATATTTTCTCCGAGTGACATAAGGTATATTACTAAATTATTAATTCTGCACAGATGAAGTCCCAGGCAAAAGCTAGTAAACAAGTAAACTCTGGGAATCAATTATACAATTATATTATTTGTTAAATTAGTCCCAAAGTAATGTTAAAGACATAATATTTTTTATTCAATACTTTTCAGTCTAAAAGTCCTCAAACCGACGGACAAAACTGCATGGGATGATGATGACGATGACCCGAAAGGTGCAGTAAGGAAGTCCAGTTGGGACTTCCCTACGCCATTGCCGCGGGACTCGAGCTCCAGAGATAGATCACAACGAAGTGAACGGGGAAGACCATTGAGGGATAATAAAGGGAAACTTTATGAATACTCTTCAAGAGCAACTCCACATAAGTAAGTGAAATCTATGTTTATCGGCCGAATAAATAAACGTGAAAATATGTAACAGTGCCCTAAATGATAAGGCTCTTAAACTCGAAGTTCTTTACAACTTTTGATATTCATCATATTGAAAGCAGCGCTTATGAAGCTAAGTGTTTAAAATTCATTTCAGTATTTGGACGTAAGTTTATTAAACGAAATAAGTCAACTTAAGTTATGCTTAGCTCATGTCATATTTAATTTCATAACAACTAGCTGTTCCCAAGCTGCTTCATCTGCGGGTATTTATAATAACTTCATTTTATCATTTACATTTGTCAATTTATCATGACATGTCATGTCAATCTATGGCAATCTTAATTCGTTGATGTTGGCAGCAACTTATGGTCTCTTTCCCACATTAGGGTTTTTATCCAATTTATTTACCAAGTTTAATAGTGTGAAAACATATAGCCTAAAGTGTGAAGTAAGTGTAGGGATTTTTATTAAAAAAAGAATTATTTAAAAATATGCTGTAATTGCTCACGTCTTAGGCAACAAAGAAGTGTGTGTTTACACTTTATTATAATAGTATAGATTTATTACTAAATGTTGTGAAACAGTAATTATTCTCAAAGAATGTGGTAAATTGTTAATAAAATCAGTGTAGGTACCATAATAATGTCATTGCGAAATACTCTGAATTAGCATAATGTAAAATATCTTTGAAATAACGATAGGAAATAATTTCATTCAAATATTGAGGACAGCGCCATCTAATTGAAAAAGTTTCCTACTGTTAGATATTTCCACAAATGACTTCCTTTAAAATATAGACGGATGCCCATATTAACAATACTTGTAAATTACTTTAAAACACACAAACTGAACTCCAATGCGACAACGCAAATGTACCGAACGTTCCGTTGTGACGACTAGTAAAACACCGAGCTTGTTGGCAACTGAACGCCGAGACTGCGACTGAGCCCGAGCCATATATTTATAAAACTACCCCTCACTATTCCTTCCGTTTCCTAATATTTTCCTAACCATATTGTTATTTTAAATAAAGATAAATGTATTGATAAATAGCACAGATTAACAAATAACTTTTAAGGATACAGAATACATTAAAAATAGTTAAAAAGCTAACACTAAATATTTTTTTTTCCGTGATTCTAGTTTTAAGATGAATTAAAATTAGGTTAACAAATAATTTAATTCTAATATTTTTATACAGATGGGCATCCACGCGGCGTATAGTTGATATAGACGATCCGGACTGGGAGGAAGTTGAGAAGAAATTGGACCGAGCCTGGTACAACATGGGTGAAGGTTAGTATTCCTTTGTTTAAAAATCCTAGTTTAAATTAGGGGTGATTTAGAATTAGCTAAAAATACTGGCGAGGTACAGGATGATTTTAAACATATCTTTTGATTTTCTTTTCCAATAAGTAATAGTTGCTTCTATATAAGTTGTAGCTGGCAAAGTATAGTAGTACACTTATAAATTTTATATAAAATACTATGTAAAGTAGTTCAAAAGGCCTCTTCAATTGAATGGGGAATTTGTATCAATTGAATTTTAAAAATTAAATAATTAACTGAACATTTTACGGCTGTTACTCACGTGTACTGTCACGTCTACTGTATAAAACGTCTCACGAAAGTTGAAATAATTTATTTTATTAATTTCTTAAATTAAACATAAATTGTCATCATTTGAGTATAAAATAAATAAAAAGGAAATAATTTATTATACGAGTGACGTCGATCATCATCCGCGAACCTTTACACCGCGATCTAGAACAACTATCCACGCCATCTATCGGACGACAAACGAAACATTTGCACTTTCAGGCGAAACTGAAGAATCAGATCCATTCGCGGGCACAAGTTCTGAGTACATAGCTCGTAAGGAGGAGCAGATAGAGAAGCGCCGCAACCGCAAGGTGTCGGCCGCGCGCCAGCAGATAGACAGAGACAACGAGCTGTGGGAGAGGAACCGCATGCTCACCAGCGGAGTGGTGCACGCTGTGCATCTCAACAGCGATATGGACGAGGTCAGATAACTCAAGTTGAGTCAAGTAATGGAGAAATTAAGCAATGCCTCAACTTTCAACAAAGTCAACATCTAAATGTATCAATTTATTTATTTTTTGTTACTCAGTGAAAACGTAGCTTTATAATGGTGGAAAAAATTATTGAACTCGGTCCAGAAATATTTGAGTTATTACAATATATACAAAAATACAATTTTTTCCTCTTTATATGATCTAAGATTAATTTTTATAGAAACAAAAGCTAATACAGCTTTTGCCCGCGACTTCGTACGCGAATTAAAAAAAAAACACTAGTACTACAGTCTATGTTTATCACTGGTAATTAGCTTTTTAACTATAATAATTATTGAAATCGTCTCGGTAGTTTTTGGGTTTATTATTTATTAAAAAAAGGTCTCTACTTTAAAATATTAACATAGAGAAGCCATTCATTCAGAAATGTTGTCATATATTATTAATGTTTTTATTATTTTTTTAATTAATATTTATTTTGTATATATATTACAGGAAAGTGTGGATAGAGTACATCTGCTGGTACATAATATAGTGCCCCCGTTCCTTGACGGTAGGATTGTGTTCACAAAACAACCGGAGCCAGTTATTCCAGTAAGTAACTTTTACAATGTTACATATGACCTTCAATTTAAAACTTAAATTGTATAAACAGAAAAATATCACATATTTCTTGTATTAATGCTAGTATTGATTCGTCAGTGATTTCTTCTAACGGAGAACATAACTAAATACGATTTCATTATGTTTGAAGTCCTTATCGATTATTTTTTTCACTTTAATCGATGTTTTTAGTTCCTCACCTCACTAATATATTAAATTTGATAAATGTCAAATGTTAGCTGTTAAAATAGCAATACTTTAAATGTCTAAGAAAAATCTAGAATTAGTATTTTTAGCATAAATATGTGGTTCTTAGTTCTAAAATTAATACCAACTTTAAGGTAAAAGACCCGACATCAGATATGGCGATGAACGCACGGAAAGGTTCCGCTTTAGTTAAAGCGTTTAGAGAACAGAAGGAGAGGAAGAGAGCGCAGAAGAAACATTGGAAATTAGAAGGCACTAAAATAGGTGAGTACTTCTACTAGCTATAATAAAGTACAATCGGGGAATCTGTCGGTGTGCCTTAAAAATTTCGTTCATAAAATATATTTCAATTTTTTTATGGGTGAATGAAATATTAACATCGGTTTTGTTAAACTATTTGAAATTCAAATAATTTTGTGAAAATGTGTTTTTACAGGTAACATAATGGGCATACAAAAGGAGAAAGAAGAGATAGAAGACGGACCAACTAGACAGGCGTACAAGTATGCTGAACATATGGAAAAAGGTAACTGTAAATCTATCTATACTCTAGACTAATGAAAAAAAAAACACTACGTAGTTACGAAGGCTATATATTTTCAAGCTGTTAAATTTAGGGAGTAAATAATTTGTTAAAAACCAGCATGCGGGTAGGGAACAAAAACTACGAGCTGACAGCATGTAAAAACAAGGTTGTCATGGTAACTGTCCTTCGCTATCATTTGTGCATTTGAATTTTGACATTTGCAATTGAAAATTTGACAAATGTAAACAGTATAATAAAGTTTTTATAATTTGATGCGGGTGAAGCCGCCGGGGACAGGTCGTATTAAATGTGTTCCTTGTTGCAGAAGGTCAGGAGCCGGAGTCGAAGTCGGAGTTCGTGAAGAAGAAGACGCTGGGCGAGCAGCGGCGCTACCTGCCCGTGTTCGCGGTGCGCGAGGACCTCATGCAGGTCATCAGGGAGAACAGTGTCATCATCATTGTCGGTGAGTGCCATCTCATACCCTGCTAATGTTCTCTATGCAATCATACTAATATTATAAATACGAAAGTTTAGATGGATGGATGGACGTTTAGGTTTGAAACCTGAACTGATAAACGGATCTGGATTAAATTTGGCATAATCTTAGAACAAAGCCTGGAAGAACACTTAGGTTACTTGCTTTTGTTTATTTTTAATTCCACGTGGACGGAGTTTCGGGCGAAAGCTAGTTAAGTAGTCTGACAAGCGTGCGGGCCGGAGGCATAATGTTAGTTTTCTTCGTTTCTTCAACCCTTCTCGTAGTAAAAACAGGGGTTCGGTGAGTGAATTTAACGGAGCATAAAAAGCGTAGGCGAAATATCCTCATTTTGGTCTTCCTCTCCTCTGTTTTGTCTGCTTCTGTTCGGTGCCCTATACATAGTGGTCGCTTCACTATTTGTGTATTCCGATAGCCGTTTTTTCTTTTGTCATCTTCTATTTCAATACTAAATAAAGAAGAAAGATTTGTATTTCTCTATTTTTGTTAAAAAGCTACGTTATCACCGAGAAACATAGGCTACTTTTTTAATATATTTTATGTCCATAAGAAGGAAGTTTCTAGCAAGTGTTAGTATTGTTTGAATAAGAGAATATGTGTGTATGTGTGTGCACGTGTCAGGCGAGACGGGCAGCGGCAAGACGACGCAGCTGACGCAGTACCTGCACGAGGAGGGGTACGGCGCGCGCGGCGCCGTGGGCTGCACGCAGCCGCGCCGCGTCGCCGCCATGGCCGTCGCCAAGCGCGTCGCCGACGAGATGGGCTGCAAGCTCGGTAACGTCCGCCAACGAGGACCGATATAGCCTTCACTGGTACCTCATATGTTCCACTTCAGTAACGCATCAACGCATCTAAAGTCGGCTCGAAGGACCGATATAGCCTTCACTAGTACCTCATATGTTCCTCTTCAGTAACGCATCAACGCATCTGTAGTCGGCTCGAAGGACCGATATACGCTTCACTAATACAATCAGGGAATCTGACGGTGTTCCAATTAAAAAGATACAATCGTTTGAACGTTTTAAAAACACGACTAGTTACTTTGTATTAGTATATCTTCGTTTGCACTCACTGCTATCTAATTAGTTCGTTGTTAGAGGCGGAGTTTGTCTCGTAGCAATGAACAAGGTATTTTTTCCTTTAGTGGAACGCAGGGATTTCCGCGACTTCATAATCAGAGAGTCTGACATTGTTTCACCTTTGAAGATACATCTACACTAATATAATAAAGCGTAAACACACACTTCTTTGTTGCCTGAGATGTCAGCAATTACAGAATATTTTCGAATAACTCTATTTTTAATAAAAAGCCCTACACTTACGTCACGCTTTAGGCTATATATTTTCACGCCGTTAAACTTAGGGGCAAATAGTTTGGATAAAAACCATAATGTGGGAGAGAGACCATAAGTTGTTGCCAACATTAAAGCACGGTTGCCAGGGTTTGACATCATGTCGTGTCATTTTGACATTTGCAATTGATCATTTGACAAATGTGAACAATAAAATGAAATTTTTATAATTATTTGCGGATGAAGTCGCATGGGAACGGCTAGTTTTTTATAAATGTCTCGAAATAAAAAAAAGGTTTTTCAATGGTACGCGGATTTTTTCTACTATCCTGTCGCTAGCGTAACTCATTGCTACCTAATTGGTTATTTGTAACATACGGAGTTTGTCTCGTAAGAATTAAAACATTTTCCCTGTAAGTGGAACACCGCGGATTTTCGCTACTGTACATCCGACTTGAAGGACCAAACATGTATTTGTCTAAATGGCTATGTAAATTATATTTGAATTGCAAATTTTACAAGACAGCTTCAAACATTAATACGATTAATTACATATCAAAAGAACATACGTTATTTTCAAGTTCATATAGAAATGGTATTCTTAATTTAATTAAATAAAAAACCTAAAACAAAGTGTAAATATAAAATTATAACTTACCAAAGACTCTATAGGTACCATCGTAATTTCCTGTAAATTCCAGTTTAACACCAGAAAACCTATCCTCTCTCTGCAATGCTAAGCCTAGACTCCTATCAGGTGAGGAAGTGGGGTACGCGATCCGTTTCGAAGACTGCACCTCCCCGAAGACGGTGATCAAGTACATGACGGACGGCATCCTGCTGCGCGAGGGGCTGCGGGAGCCGGACCTAGACAACTACTGCGCCATCATCATGGACGAGGCTCACGAGCGATCCCTCTCCACTGACATGCTGTTCGGTCTGCTCAGAGAGGTCAGTCTACCTTTACTAATCTCTGATCACCCTGTTTATTGCAAGCTTTAGGCTGGTCTATTAAGCAATTGGCCAAAGTCAGTATGATAAGGTATTAGCCTATAGTTCGTCTACTAATGACCTAAGCTTTAGCCTATAAAAGATCTATTAGGCGATTAGGTTATAGCCGGTCTACTAAGCAATTATCTTGTAATTACCATTAAAAGACCAGCTACTAATGAACTAACCTGTAGGTCAGGATACAGCCTACAATAGTTCTATTAAGCGATTAGATTATGGCCGGTCTACTCAGCGATTATCCTGTAGCCGGTCTACTAATGAACTTGTCTGTAGCATTTAACAGGTCTTTTAAGCGATAAGGTTATAACCAGTATACTAATGAACTACCTTGTAGCCTATAGCCAGTCTATTAAGCGATTATCCTAAGCGGGTCTACTAATGAACTAGTCTGCAGCCTCTACCAGGTCTTTTCAGCGATTTGGCTATAGCCGGTCTACTAAGCGATTATATGTGTGTGTAAAAAATCTACTAAAGTATTTTCTTTAATTGTTTGGTAAAATGTGAAAAATACCAATAAAAATAAACTAAGCGATAAATTACTAAAATTTGTAGATAGATGTTCCACGAATTTCAATATTAACACAGTATTATGTTATTGCATAATCGGCAATTATAATAACATTGTTATGCGCTGATAATGGTTGGGAATTAACCATATCTAGAAAGCAGTATGAATGTCTTATAAAACATGCACTTTTCACGTATTACAATATGTTCTAGATATCTAGATAAAGATCTAGATCCTGCCCTTGTTTTGTAAGCCATAGACTTTATTACAGGTTTTATGGATTAAAAAACATTGTTATCGATTACGTAATCAATTTATTAATACAAAAAATGCTTCCATATAAATAGAACATTGAAATATTATACGTACTCTCACAACAATCGGAAATATCTCGTTTTCATTATAAATTAACAATACTCGACACACGATCTATGAAAAACTTGCATTTTAATCCATAGAAGTTTCTGGAATATGCGAGTTTCATAATCACATCTAAAATCACTCCTACATCAAAACAGTCTTATTAATCAGAAACAATGTTATAGATTTTTATTTCGATAGACTTTACATATCAACTAAACTATAAGATAAAAATTTATTCATATTTGTTAACAAGAATATCAAATTCACAGAATCATTAATTGTCTTATTAGATGTCAGGAATGTAATTTTCTATTCATAAAATTTTAATATAATCAAAATTAAAGCTCTAAAAAGAATTTAAATACAATCCAAATGTTCGATATCTTCTATGTAAAATTTTTTTATCCGTGATTGAGCGTAGAATCTAATGTACACTGAATTATGAGAAAAAAACGAAATGCAGTTCAATATTTAAAAGGAACAATTCAAAAACATCAATTATGGCAGTTTGGAGCCCATTTTTTAACAGAATCTATCGTAGAAACAATTTCAAACTCTTCAAAATCAGTATAAGTACTAGAATATCAAAAGTTAAAAGGACCAAGTTGCAATTTTCATTTCAATTCGAAAAAAAGGATAACAATCGATTTTGAACAAAATTAGAGCTTCTAAAACATTTTAAGTTGTAGTAAAATGACAAAACATTGAGAGCTGATACAGATTACATCACACGATGTTAACTCGGTCCTATCGGTAAAATCGATTTAAACCGATCCAATCACGCCCGGTGATGGAATAAAAAAAAACAATTTATACATTGTCTATGTTCCGGGGTGACCAGAAGCAGGCGTAGCACGAGCCAGCGGCGATGCCGCTGGATGGCAACACTCAGACAGACTTTGCCTTTGCCCTGGCGTTGCTTTGACTTACGAGCATTACGCCCATATTCATGCCAATGTTGCCCCATTTCAGCGACTCGCTTATCTGTAACAAAGAGGATTTAATGTTAAAGTTTTTGTTGTGTGCTGGCTGAAAACAAAAGTACGATTTTTTTATGTTTGAGCGGTTTGAACTTTTTACAAAATTAATAACAACTAAATTCCAAACTGCGAGGATTTTTTTTTATATTTAAGTAACACAAAGTTTACAAAATTCGCACACAAAAACGTTAATAAAATGATTTTTGTTTTGGCCGTGAATTTTTTGTTAAAATATCTTGTTGATTATATAGCTTTTTTACTAAAGGAGCAAGCATATCCGGATAAAACAACAAAAAAAAATGTATTGTGCAATTTACTATAGAATATTTATACTAATCAAAAGTAACCGTTATACTGTATTATTTCAAAAGTATACTGGAAAAATCCCAGGAGGTAAATAACAGATAAAAATTAAGAGAATTATTGCCATAATAGTTTTATAAATAAATTGTTTTATCGAAGAAGTTTATTAAAGAACTAGCTGTTCCCGTGCGACTTCATCCGCATGATATTAAGAAAATTTCTATTTTATTGTTTACATTTGTCAAATTATCAATAACAAATGTCTAAATGACATGACGTGACAAACCTTGACAATCTTGCTTCCTTGATGTTGCAACTTATGGTCTCTTTCCCACATTAGGGATTTTATCCAAAATATTTGCCCCCTAAGTTAAATGGCGTGAAAACATATAGCCTAAAGCGTGACGTAAGTGTAGGGCTTATTATTAATAAAAGAATTATTCAAAAATATGCTGTAATTGCTGACATCTCAGGCAACAAAGAAGTGTGTGTTTACGCTTTATTGTAATTGTATACATGAGTTTTAAACATTTTTAATACGTTATGTATCTAAGCGTACTGGACTCAATTAACCCAATTTATCTCTGACCTTGCGTCGGGGGTCAAAATGAAGTGTGAATTATTTATAGACGGACACGCTTCTTACAAGTGATAAGATAATTATGTTTATTAATAAACAATGAGTACAAAGTTTCTTAGGAATTGAATATCAATGTTATTGAAAGGACAATACGTATAGTTTAATAGTTATCTAAAAAATCAAACGCCAACAAAAACCATCCGCGAGAGTAAAGAATACGGAATTAAGAACGTTTTCCAAAATTGTTTTTAAAATGTATTAATAAAAAATAAAAAAAATAGGACAATAATGTCTGCACCGGTTAATTAAAATTACTAAAAACAATACGACACTTAAATATATTGAGAAGTTAATTTAAATAAATAACAACGGACCTTTAAAATACTTAAGAACTCCGCTTTTGTACAATAAGGTTAACAATATCGTATTAATTACATTTGCCGAATTTTTCTCACGATATTTGAGCAAGTTTCTTACAAAATATCTTTTATTTAACGACATTTTAAACTCAAACTGTACAAACACATTTAATATCAAGGTAACGACGAACTGGTTTTGATAAAAGTACTTACTGGTAGTCAACACTTTAGTAAAAAAAGTATTTTTTTTTGTTGAAGCCGTTTATGGATATATTTCGTATTTTGCATTCCGTTTCATAAAATTAAATGCTGTATTGTTTTTTACTTGCATGACCGTCGCTTAGGGGATAGACAGAACAAATCCTCTCATGATTTGGACATTTTAAAATAGATATAAAAGTTTACTTCGAATAATACCATACGTCCCACCTAAACCTAGCCTAGATCATCAAGTAATGCAAATAGACTCGACTAAATTTGCTGTCCGTAAGGTTATATAAATAACATTTTATTTACATAATCTTCGTCATCTATACATATTTCTAATTACAAATCATAAATGCAAAGAACGGCACAAGTTTTAAAACAGATTTCTCATATCAGTTAAGAATGAAATTCCGATGGTAAGCCTCAGTCACGTTTTGTAAGTGCCGTCTCGACACGTGAGTATAGAGTAGTTAGCAATAGAGAGACACACAATAGAATACACAGTAGGACAACATTAAACCTCTGAACTTGGGGTACTCGTTTTAAAAGAAAAACCTCACCGGTATTGTAAAGGTAGCCGGCAGATTGGGTCCATAGCGCCGCTACGACCATCAAAAGATGATGATCATAGGTGTTTTCGACGTCGTTAAGCTGATCTGTAACAAAATTTCTACGTTGTGCGATCTCTGTTTTTTTTCTACTCTTCAGTCCACCTGTCGTCCCATGCAATAACTCCCACGATGCCAGTAAGTGTCGACGTCCCCCAAAGTTCTCAGTTTGTAATGAACAAGCCCCACTTTCATACATTTTAACTCCATACAATAGCGGAAACGGTAACAAAAAGCTCGAAAAATAAGCAACTTTCGAAAATTACGAGTTTAAAAATCGAATGTTTACGTAACACTGTCATTACAAATTCATTGTTTTCTTAAATTACAATTTCTATACTGCCAGTATTCGTGTTTATATATATTTTTAAATACATTAGGCACGAATAGTAGAAATATATTAAGAAATGCTCTTGTAAAGACAGCTTCAATAAGGATGTGAACGACATGCAATAGTTTGAATAATGCAAACGTAAATTTTAAAACAGGAAACATGAAAATAATCGTGCATTTTTGAATCAAATAATCCGAAGAACGTTCTAGAAATTTAGTTGTCTTTACCTGTCTCATGCGAGCTTCTTGCGGCGTCTCCCCATAGCGGCACCAATGGACAAAGTGTAGGGTGTTGTGCCAATTCCTCTCGAATCTGGATTTAGTGGCCATGTCAAGCTGCAATCAGGAGAAGCTCCTTAGTGGTGGTTCCACTGTCACTTTCCAAAAAACGAAAGCCCCATGAGGCTATCTGAAATGAGAGGTTTCCAATTCGATCGTTGACCTACTGAGGGAAGGCTAAGAGTTTCAAAAGACGAAAGACCTATTACGCGATTACGAAACGCAGCACGATAAGAATGTCTATTCGAGGATTTGCAATTATGTTAATTTAAACAAAGATATTAGAATATTGGAATTGCAAAGTTTCAAAGACAGAATCTAATAAATAAATCAGAAAAACGTCCAGACAATAGTTATATGAAGCAATGCATTTGCATAATAATCGAGGTCGTCCGCTAAACCAATCGTTTATACTAAACAATTCAAAGGACTAGAATGTGCGCGGAAGAAAGAAATGTTTATCAAACAATGTAGTTTGCACTATTGGGGTATTGCAATCTAAAATCCGTTACGTTAACTGGTTATCGACATGTCTCGCTTTGTATGTTGAAATTATACAGCTATTTGTTTCTGGAAATTACGAAAGAATACGTAATGTATTTTGATATTGTAATACAGAATAATACATTTTTTAATATTTTGTTATACCCGCAAATACGTGTGTAAGGAATTTATGGTAAAGATCGATAAGAATTGGAAACTTTTCGCTATTTTTCTTTAAAATTACCTTTGCCCTTATGTCTTTTTCGCTATTAGGGGTCTCCTGTTTGTCGTCCACGTTGTTGATACGTATGACGGAGTCTTTCTTCCAGAAGGCACCCAGAGTGGTCTTAATCACACGTTTACGCACACCTTTCTGTTGCACCGTGTACACCTCTATCTGTTCCGGGTTCTTTGTTTTTTCTGTTAAATTAGAGAAACACATATTTCTATTTAGAGTACAACAAAAATAAATTATTTAATGTAAATAAAAATAAATAGGTTGCGATATTTTTAGTGAAATTTTCTTAGGCCGGGTCACGGCTGTTAGTAATCGGTTAGCTATTTATTGCTCTTAACTCATTAAAAGGCGCGAACGAGCACGCCGTCGCGTACGCCACATGAATAACATAATGTTATTCACATCGCAAACGACCGCAACAGCGTGCGAGCAAGCTCGAGCCGAAGTTATTTAGTTGTTCAGTGTTGCAGTACGCCCCCGCGTCAACGTACGTTATCGCACAGATACGATAAATTACGATGACTCAAGGCTACCTGCATAGGAATGTAGCTTTACCGCCACCAACACGTACCTTTACCCTTCTTCCACATTGCGATGGCGTACATGTGGTAGTCCGGAGTAATCGCGGAGTCCGGCGGCAGCGGGTCCTCCGCTCGCACCTCCAGCACGAAGCCAGTCTCGAGCACGGCGCATAGGATATTTTGTTCATCGTGCTTGAACCACTTGGTCTCCCGGAGCTTGTGAATAGCCACCGACGAGCCGAAGCGCGGCTTCTTCGGCGCGAACAGTGCCTGGGCCTGACTGCCGAAGCGAGACAAGAGCCCCTTCACCGTCGGCTGCGCCGCGAGGCTCTTCTCTGGCGGCTTTATCTGCTGGAAGCTCCGGCAAGTCACGAACCTCGCTTCCATTGAACCCTGCTCTCTTGAATTCTCAAAACGATCCCACCGCGTACACAAAGTAAAGGTTTTTAGGGGTGGTGGTAATACGTTTGTATACTCTCACTGTGTAGAAATCGCGTTAGAACACTTTCACAATTGATTGCGCGTGGCTTCTGAGTTGCGGGCACGTCCAACTATACTGCGGCACCGGTACATTAAACGGCGCGCGCGTGGCGCTCGGCGGTTTTATACGAGCGCGGGGGGGACGGGGAGGGCGGGACGCGCCGCCGCTCACGTCGCACCCTACTAGTGAAGAGCGGAATTATGTCGATATTTACAGTTTTAATCAACACCTCTAATTGAATGCCAACAATTGACATTAATTCCCATGCCCAAGGGATCATTGACTACTACAAACCATTGTTTACTCATAAAAAGATTTTAACAATTGTAATACATTCTGTGTGAAATGACACTATTAGAATTAAAAATAAGTCGGTCAATGAATTCACTTCAAACTTTCTGTATTGCAATTTAAATTTAACATCTCTTATTTGAGTAATGATATGAATGCTTGAGTGTTAGTTGAAACACTTTGACATATCGATAAAATAACAAACGATGTTGCCCTACACTACGAAATGCACTGAATCTGACCTCTCTCGCCACACCTCCTCAAGCTTCCCTCCCCCTGCCGCATGCCGCACGCTTCCCCCGCGCATCGCTGGCGCCAACCGGTCGTACTTTATATATTTTTTAATTTTGTAATAAAAACCCAACTTCACGAATGTTAATTACGAATTGAATAATACATTTTTTTGTTTAAAAAGTTCTTTCTAGAATTCTTGATGCATTTATCGATGTAATTTTGTGATAAACAAAATACCGGCCATGCTGCGTCCCTCCCCTACGAGCCTCACATTTGCATCTCGTTTTGTTTTTAAATATATTTTGTTTGACGCAAAGGGATGCGTAAAAACTTCGAATATGCTCGGGATTTACACATCCTGTTATACAGACTGTCTAGTTATCGTTTTAAATCAATAAACGTGAAGGGCAAGATAAAGGTCACGATATAAGTCGGTTGCGTTTATATTGTTTATTTGGAATTATTTTTGTTAGAATTTAGTCTCAAAAATGTAATTGAAATTATTGTTATAAGTCAGCCATTATTTTATGTTTTTTTTTAACTTGCATGACGAAATACTAAAGCTTTGGAACATAATACGAGAATTCAAATACCCAGCATTTTTAGTCTGAAAGTACTAAAATCTCGAAAAATGTTTGCTCTAATAATATGATAAAGCAATTCCCTGTCAAAGTTAATTTATTTAAAAAATCTGAAACCATAAATATAAAATTGATTAATAAAAGCTACTAATTTATGTATTTTGTTTTTTTTTACTATTTATTTCCGAATAGCGTTGCGTCGGAAGTTATGTTGTTGACCTCAAAACATTTCTGCGATGGCCTTCAGTAGACATGCTTTTGTCTTACAAGCGATGATGTGTGACTCGACGTACAGTCGCCGACACAAGTGTAACGAAACGGTAATTTTTATGCTAACAGTAGAATGCATTCCCGTTATCAAAACATTATCATTCTAAATATAAAAATATACATAACCAGAATTATAAAGCGTATTGCAGAAAAATATGGAAATAATTCCCTTTGTGCATTAGAAATTGTAATGTAGAAGCCGATTGAAACGCTCCCAGATCACTATTTTTATATTGGTTTGCTCCTTGCGTTTTCCTATCTTAAATTATTTTCCTTTTTAACATTTTTTTAATCGGATTAAAAAGGACACGTGCTTATTTTTTAATCTCTTTAATATTATCAATTCGATAAAGGTATAAGGTTTCCCAATTATTTTCTGTCCTTCATATATTTTTTTTTATCTTGGATTACAATTATTAGGATTAATGCATTATCATGCACTTCCTTGTTTTAAACCATGAAATAAGTTAATTTTTGGATTAACATTACAATAATATAAAAAAATTAAACATTTTATACTTTACTAGCTTTCGCCCGCGACTTCGTCCGCCCGGAATTAAAATAAACGAAAGTATATAGCCTATGTGTTATTCCATACTCTACGTATATGTAAAATTTCATCGAGATCCCTTCAGCAGTTTAGGCTACAAACTCTAACAAACATCCATCCATTTAACTTTCGCATTTATAATATTAGTATAATTGTAATAACATTTTCTTAAGATTAAAGAAAGTAAGTTTTCTTTGGAATGCGATCATGTTGATAAAGTTAAATTGATTTATTTTAAATCCGAGATTAATGTCTGAAATTTCGATAGCAGGTAGATACAAAACTCGCATACTTTAAAGATAACGAGACTGTCTTATCATGCTGAATTTCTTTACATATAAAATGTCTTTCTCTATATCTAATACCAGTCTTTTAGAGCGTCGGTGGCTCAGTGGTTTGAACACTTGACTTGTAATCTACAGGTCTTGGGTTCGAATCCCGCCATGTACCAATGTGATTTTCGATTTTTCGAATTTTCATATTTAAATAATTTACCCGACGTTCTTACGGTGAAGGAAAACATCGTGATGCAGCCTGCACATATTGGCGAAGAAATTCAGCCCGAGCCCCTCGGTGGGGACGACGAATACCAGTCTTATAGCAGGCTTAAATGGTTTCACTAACATTAATGTAAATTGTCTTCAATGTCAGCTGCGACATTTCTTTTCAATTTCATACATTGGTTCACACTAAAAAAATCAGCTTTGAGGATTTTTTTCACAGGATAAATCATACTTCATACTTAATATTATAAATGCGAAAGTTTAGATGGATGGATGTTTGTAAGAGTTTGTAGCCTAAACGGCTGAACGGATTTCGATAAAATTTGGCATAAATGTAGAGGATAGTCTGGAAGAACACATAGGTTACTTGCGTTTTCTTTTAATTCGGACGGAGTCGCGAGCGAAAGCTAGTCTTAATCTAAATCTAAAAGTCCAAGTTCATATCCTCGACAAGTGTTTTGTTTTTTGTTAATTCTAAGGCTAGCCGTATGCCGTATTTGTAATTGGATATTCTATTGGATACAGAATCGGCCACAGAAGTTGCCAAATACAAACTCGTTATCTTGTCAACTAATTCGTTCGATATGTCATTTTTAGTGTCTAAATTGTGCCTACAAATTACAAAGTACGTTTTCCGGTGACATTCATCGCTCTCAGTATAAAATTTCATTACTGCAACACATTATTCTAATTTCACGCCTTACTTTCCTTTCTATTACCCCTTTTCTTGATAAGTCATGGTGTATTTAAAGTGCTCTTGCTGTATGTTTACCCACTTTCTTTGCTGGCCGTTATTTCTTACACTTAAATGTCTGGTAGTCCAGATTTTCTAGTTTTGAAGTTTATTACAATAATGGCTGTTGTTTTTCGACATTGTGCAAAATTGTAAAATATGTCAACTCCTGTCGCGCACTTTTACATTCTGGATCAAAAAAATGCATTAATTACTTTGTTTTTGCTAACAAAATTGTTCATTGATAACTATGCAATCTAGTATTTCATTATAAAAATCGTTTTGTTACATAAAAAAAATATTAAAACTTATGATGTCGACTGTACATGAACATTTTGTTTTAAGTGTTTATCGGAAATTAAGAGTCGTTAAAAATTATGCATTATTAGCTTTCGTCCGCGACTCCGTCCGCGTGAAGTTCAAAAGAGACCAAAATTAGTAGCCTAAGTGTTCTTCCAGACTATCCTCAATGTCTATCCAAATTTAATCGAAATCCGTTCAGCCGTTTAGGCTACAAACTCTAACAAACATCCATCCATCCATCCATCTAAACTTTCGCATTTATAATATTAGTAAGATTAGTAAAATTAGTAAGATAAGATTAGTAAGATTATATTGCGATGAAAACTTCATATAAGTTTATTTTTGCTTTTAGTACATTTTGCCAAATGTGATTATTATGATATTTACACAAATTTGTTAATGGTGTTTACAAAAACAAAATTATAAAACAATTAACCAGTTTGTAAATGGAATTGAAAAAAAAATATATTGTTGTATAGTATACTAAAATGTGTAATGTATTTGAATTAATTTGTCACATTTTGCATATTAGTTATTTACTATACCCATATACGCTTTATATTAATATAGAAAAAATATAACGAATGTAATCTCAAGACAATCATCTGATAGTTGAAATTCAGCTTTGCTATATTTTGTTATACTTTCATGTAAATATCTGCGTCATAAAAAGCCGATTGCAGTTTTATCTTGCGATATAAAGATTAGCTCAAAAGCATGTATTCACTGTTTCGATCAATAACTTGTTTGACTTTTAAGCTGTGACATTATAGGACGAAAACTAGTGCGTTTACCCCAATAATGTATAATTTTATATTCTTTTAATTAGGAATGATCCATCAAGATTTATTAATATATTTTTCCCTCTACTACATTATGTTGAATCCTTGAGTTATAAAATCGGTATTGACATACGTTTACGTAAAGATCAATAGAAAGGAAGGTTGAATTACTATTTTTAAATCATAGTGTCGTGGGGAATCAAATGTAGCTACCGTCTTTAGTTTATTCCTTGCTTAAGTCTATTAATTGTATGAGAATTATTTTTTAAGAGCCACAAGAGCCAGTTACTAGTACATCGACCTGATCCCATTCTGAAAGTTCTGAATTAAATATCTATACTGCTTTTATCAACATAGCAATAAACTGATTGATTAATTAAAATAAAAGTATGTTAACCATATTTAAGAAAAATCTAGAACTTTGTCAATTGATTATTTTGTGAGAAATAGGCCATCTGTATTAAAAGAACATTAATCTTTGACACATTATCCTGGTTAAAGATGTCGTTTGGTGATCGTAGTTTAGAAGCAAAGCCACTACCAATGAACATCCGGGTTCTTTTTCTAGTCAATTGAAATACTTTTTATTTCCTATCAATAAAGTCTTGAATCAGAGATTTATCGCGATAGTCCATGACATATTTACCTACAAATAAATTCATCGAATTGATTTGTAACTGTCTACTCATTTCATACGGAAAATACATCGCAAACATTTCCCAATCTTGATCATAATTTGACTTCAGACACGTGTATAAGATACATTTTTATCTCTGTCCTTCCGAAAGAAAATAACAGAGATGTAACTATTTCTGTACATCTTTTAACAGTGGGTTCCCACGGATCCTGATTAAACTCAA